AACGCAATTATAAAATTGTAGATACTAACATAAGGTCAAGAGGTCAAAGTTAGTTTGAAGATTTATAATTAAAGGGACACATCAAAGTTTATTAATACTAAAATAAAGTTTAATTTTAGATTAAGAGTGAGTTTCTTGTAAGTTTTCGAAATAATAATGTTAGACTAATATCAAAATAAAGATTTAGGAATAGTTAGTTCTTGGTCTGATGGCAATGACATGTTTGATTGACGGATAAAATTGTACAAACCAATCATACTTAGAAGAAAAAAAGAAAGTTTCAACTTGACACTATGGTAGCTGAAACAGACCAATAGAAATCCAAGAAGAGCAAATGGTTTACCAGTTTACCAAATTGAGATATCCTGAGACAGAATTTAAAGTGAAACCTGAACTTTATAAATATTACGTGATGTGTTATAGTGTTTTGAAATTAGGTCGCTTGAAGATTTAAACTAGACAATTTGTGTTTTCTGTGTTTAGGATTAGTGAATTTTCGTAGGACTTTGAAGTACATATGAACATTTTGAAGAGCTTTTGCATGCGACTTTTGACTTTTGATTTTTGATTATTTGTGTTTTTCTTTCACAGCTTTATTTTAAAGTATAGTAATCATTTTTATTTGCCTGTTGCGTGAATAATTAGTTAGAATATCTATATTTTATTATATTCTTAAAGGGGGAAGAATTGTAGCACTATCGTCGTTGCGACATTGTTTTTAAATTTATAGACAAGGAATAGAGAAATAAGATGGGTTAAACAACCTTATTTTATCTTTACAAATTATTCTCTATTGTCAGTATATTAGCTATGGTATGAGTTTATTTAAAACGCAAATTAATTGTTTATGTAATAGCGTGAGAATAACAGGAAAGAGGGTCTGAGTTCAAGGATAGATTGTGTCGAAAAACATGTGACGGAAAAATTACGATTGCATCATTTGGCTTGTTTGACCAATCTCTATACTTATTTACATGATATTTGACCAATTAGATAATTGAACGTCCAAAACCCACAGCTACAAAACTATCATACTTGTGAGAATTCGTTAGACTTCCATTAGATTCCAGAGAGGTTCCACCTGAGTTCCTAGACAGCCGCGAGGCTGGCTAGGGTGAAGAAACTATTTTAGCTAGTATTGTAATCTGTGCTTGTATATAAAATGTAGAAGCGAACTGTTGCATTGTTATTCCTGGTAAGACAAACGTCTTAAGAAACTGTAAGAAGTAAATACACAACGTGAAGCAGAAGTAAAGACAGCTAGAGACAAATTCTAGACGATCACAAGGCTACAGAAATATCTAGCAAGAAAAGATGCATGGGTCGTACGTAGGATGTGGCGACCGGTTCCTCTTACCCGCTCTCCACGTCAGACAAAAGACCTATGGTGCTACACACGTCGTCTCCCTAACTGTCAGTATAATCAAGGTTGTATACCTTTGAAATGGTTCTACACACACGAGATCATAACGGAGTTTACAAGTTATCTTATAAATTATGGTATAAATTATATCGGTCATATCTACATTATCCATCATGTGGAATTACTAGTCTTTAATCACTATACAGTGCCTATACGTGTTTAGAACAAAGTGTATAGTCGAAAAGCCAATATCATATATTATCAAAACCAGCTGGGGTCAATAAGTTCTATGCATCTAACTAATAGTTCGTATTTTATGAAAAAGAAAATTGAGCACTTTGTCACATAATATTGTGTGGGCTAAATCATATTACATTTATACCCTTGGGCCTTACTCAGACAATTTGTAACATATTCATACAAATAGGCGAGGCCTTATTCAAACAACTTGTGACACTTTCGTCTAGGCGTTTCTTCGACTTCACGTTGTGGGATCAATTATTACAATCATCAATTAACTGACTCTGGAACATTGTTTATGTTGTTACTAAATTTATATAATTAAACAAATACAGCAAACTACAAAGTTATGATAGTTACTTTTCGAGTTATTAAAATATCCACGGTCTGAGTTTAATATCCTTTCTAACTCATACCTTAACGGCTTAAACGTGGCAAGAGTCACATACCTCTTGATAGTTCTACATAAGGTTCGCGCTAGGATGATGTGTTCACCCTAGCCTCTAAGCCGAGGAGGCTACGATGGTCCCCTCTCGGGCCGCTCTATGATATCTGAAGGTAAATCAAACCAGCTCTCTCCTATATATACTAAGCCTTTAATTTCATAAAATTGTAAAGTCACGTGGATCACGTGACTTTTGAGCCTATAAAGATGAAAAACCTGAAAAACACAAACTTCTAAGGCTAATCGATGCAAGTTTGCTTAAACTGAACACGCACACGTAACTTGAACTGGAAAAACACATTAAAATTGTTATTTTCATCTTTGTTAGAAAATGCCGCGCCTTTCAAATGTAGAACGTCTACGTGCTATAGAAAGGCTCTATGCTGGTCAGTCTGTGGTCACTGTTGCAAGAGCCTTTAATTGTTCACGCCAGACAATAATTAATCTTAGAATGAGAGTGCTTCAAACTGGAACTATTGCCGACCGCCCAAGGGCGGGAGCGCCACGTGTGACGTCACTCCAGGAAGATCATCTTAGAAACAGATTTGTCACTGCAACCTCCACAAGTAGAGAGATGTTTGGTGGAAGGGTAACTACACAAACTGTTCGAAATCGGTTGCAGGCTGCTGGTCTTCGAGCTCGGAGGCCCTATAATGGACCAATATTGACACCTCTTCATCGCCGTAACCGACTTGTGTGGGCCACAAGACACATAAGATTTACTCAAAGACAGTGGAATTCGGTTGTCTTTAGTGACGAATCTCGATTCACTTCGAGATTTGCCGATGGCAGGGTCCGAGTGTACCGCAGACGAGGTGAACGTTACGCTCAAGTATGCGTCAGAGAAGTTGACCGATTTGGTGACGTCGCAGGACCTTTAACATGCTCTTGCTGAGCATTGGCGACGTCTTCCTCGGGTAGTGTTTACTAATGTTCTGAGATCCATGAGAAGACGTTGTGTGGCAGTACGAGACGCTAGAGGAGGCCACAACCGTTACTAAACACTTTATTCCGATTGTTCTCCAAGTCTGTGAATTTCATTTTGGGGGGTACTATGACATCACGAACGTTATCAATGTCAAGGACTTTCGGCAAAAAGGTATTCTTGCTTTCTGTTGATGTCAAGGTCGTCTGTGCACAACATAACACTAAAATAGTTGCCTTAAACCAAATATTAAAAATCTAGTCCCAAAAATCCCGAGTGTTAAGTTTTTAATTTGGCTGAGTGTATAAAATACAATGAGAGTCATCTCTTAGGGCGGGACAATTACCATTTTTGGGTAATTGTTTCGTATCTATAGGCACCATTTTACGTCAACACTATTCTAGTTAATTGTACTAATCCATTTACGAGATGACTGGACTATAGTGCCCTACTTCCAGCAATGGATACTGACATAAAAGTCGGTGAGTTAGTCTGAGATAGTAGCAGAATATTGCAAGTTACTTCATTACCCTAGTTTCGTTACACATCATGTAGGTAAAGATTTCGTTATTAAACAGAACACTTTTCTTAGACCTAAAATAACCCTATAGTGTTATACATATCTATACAAGTACATGTATAATAATAATTATAACTAGATTTGACTGAAAGACATGAAACCTTTCATATTCACGGCCACTTCCTGTAACAGTCATGGGTTCTGGACAAGAAAAAAATAATCATTAAAATGCGATTTTTCACTTGTAAACAACTTTGTCGGCACGAAAAACGTCAAAGGTAAAATTCGAAATTGTGACATTTTCAAATACCAAAACTCTGACCCTGAACAGTGTCTTGTGTTCTATTGTGTTCATTTTCACGCCCTTAACGTGTATTTTTAACTTTTTTCACATTCAGTTCAAAATAGTGACCATCAGTTGACCGAAGTCAAAATTCTGCTATCATAGATTTTTTGGCATTCCTTCAAGGATTCAGAAAATGGAATTCACATGTCTGTAAGTAAAATATCGCAAAAGCCTTAGGGATTTTTCACATTTCAAGATGGTGGCACTTCCGAGTCGATCGAAAAAAAATTCAAGGCAATCTGACCTATATTTTGTCAATTTTTTTGAAAAATTTGATCCTTAATTTCTTCAAAGGGAGATAAGTTAGAAAATTGCTAATGGAGGCAGACCACCATTAATTTCCCCATTGACTTCAATGTTAATCCTGGCCTCTTTGCCCACCTCCAACTTTTCCCCAAAATTTCGTTGGGCTGAATGCTTTTCACTATAGACAGAGGAACCAATGACCATGTCTTTGCACTAAAATTTGTATGAGGTTGACCACAAAATCATGAATATTTACCAAAACCTGGCAGAAAATATTAATTCAAACCCTCTTCGTCCATTCTAGACCAAAAAAGCAACAAAAATGGGCATGCAAAAGGGGAGAAAAGAGACAGAGAGAGAATTGCTATAAATAGACGAACTACAATTTGTGGGTACCGAGATGGTGAAATTTAATGGTGGTCTGCCTCCTATATGGTTTTAAAAGTTCATATATCATCAAAATTCTTTTCTTTATAGCTTCACATTTATTTTTGCAAAATTATTATAATACAGAATTTAAAAAAAAAATACAGAAGAAATGGTGACCCTTTAAAGTTTTGTACTGTTTTGTATACCGGGTTGCAGCTCAGGTCCATGGGCCTTTTGTTCTAGAATTGAAGATTCTTTCTTAATTTTGTCAAAATGTAAGTTCTGCAAAAAGATTTAAAGAGTTTCAAACAAGTCTCATCAAAAATATTCAAAATATTGGAATATTGTTAAAAAATTTACCTTTTTTTTTTTACCTTTTTCTACAAAATGGCCCATTTTTCACACTTTGTATGTCTCAAAATGCCAATATTTCCCTATTTCGTGGAAAGTCTGAGGGCAAAGGCATTTATTTCTAGAAACCTTGGCCAGTATACAAGAAGACAAGCTGCAAATTGGTTGCATTGAAGGTAACTGTAAGGAACTATAATGAAACTTGTAAGCCCACCCCCTAAAAATGTTGCTGTGGTAATAAATCCAACTTGTGTCCACGTAAGTAATACTGTTGATGGAATATGGCTAATAGCCATGCTCTTCTATCCCTGGCTTATATACATACATACAAACACATGTACTTGTAAGAAGTATGAATCATTTATTAAAATATGGATTCATAAATGTAAAAAGTGCTTTATTCAGGTGATAACCAGCCACTCTAATAAAAGGGTCACAAAACACTTTTTGTTTTAAAAAAAAGGGAATATTTCAGTATTTAAAATACTTTAACAATCAGAGGTATCCTTGAAATTACATAGTGTAAATATTTCGGGAAAGCAAGTTGTTTTAATTTTTAAATCAATTTCCTGACAAAATGAGGTGGAAAAAGGGAGTTTTGACATAATTCATAGCATAAAAGGAGTATGAAAAGGCTATTAATTAATATTTTATTGTTTTGTGAGTGCCACATTTTGAAAGATCACCACAAATAATAGATTTACACCCAAAATGTAAAACATTAAGCTGCAAAAGACACATCTACAACATATCCAATTTGGGGTGTGGACTCATTTGTAAAAAAATGTCATAGGATTACATGTTTGGCCATAAACAAAAAGTCTTAGGAATCCTTGTAACTATTTGTTTGTGCAAAATAAAATGCCCGGTTACAATTCAAGCACAAAATCCACTTACTGTTAATTTGGAGTCAATATTTGTTCAATTGAATATCCAAATATCATGTTCAAGAAAAGGGGTGGGGTGGGGAGGGTGAGCCAGTTTAAATGAAATGAAGACAGAGAAATTTCCCTGCAAACACATAGATTTTACTTTCTCGAGAAGGGAAATGCAACAATTTCGGGGTTTAAAAGATTAAAGTTGTGTTAAGTCAGAGGAACACAGCAGCAAAATGCCGTTCACTCATGTTTTGGAAATTCTAACATACCTCAGCAGTACATAATTAGACTAAATTTCTTAATCTTTAAATTTCTGACAATAACATGGATACTTTTTCAATATCTGACATACACATGGATCCTTTCCAAGTTATCTAACAATAAAAATAAAAACATCCAACACATTTTGTTGCATTTTACAACAGATGAACAATTAAAATTTTGACAGCAATATTGGGGGTAATCTGGAGAATTTCAGACAACTTATTTCAGACAACTGAGTGAAAATGATATTTTCCTCGGTTGACGAATGAATGAGAGGAAAATTATTTTCTCATTGTTGCGGAAAAGTGTTTCCGTACTTTCTTTAAAGTAGGTTATTGGTTACGCGTTGTCAAGACGCGATACTGCGAGACAGACAACACGGGTTTTTGTTTTGATTGAATTTCTACGACGTACTAATTATGATGTCTTCCGATGATCATATGGAGTCAGATACAAGAGTTTCTGCAGCTAATTAAAATCTCAGAAACGTGAATTGAAGCATTACCTAGACAGAAAATTTGAAACAGAAATTGCTTCTTTGAAAACGGAAATTAATGGGGCCTCCCGTTCTGTAAAAAGATTAAAAGATGATAAAGAGCATGTATGGCGAGGTAATGGTAATAAGGATCAATTTCTGTATAATTCTGATTTGGCTGATAATCTCACCCAAGCATTGTGGGGCATAAATGTTGGTAAATTGGATCATACAAAATATATTATTCATGATTGTCTGGGGGGTTGGATGGCTGAATGGTTAGCGTGCGCGCGCTGTCTCATACAGTCTGTCATTGAGTCGACTGGCGTGGTTTCGAATCCCCGGTTGTACGTGGCAAGGAGTAGGGTCGCCTGTCCAACCTCGTGGGTTTTCTCCGGGTCCTCCGTTTTCCTCCCACTGCTAAAGACCCCTACGCGCAAGCGAATTATGTAAATAAAATTAAAAACCATATGTTAGTCCCGAAATGACCTAGTTTGTGTCGAGTGGACGTTTAACCCCATTTCTCCCTCTCTCTCATGATTGTCTAGCTAAAAGATCAAAACTTATCAAAATAGCTGATTCATTTGACGCAGGATGGGAGACTGTAAAGTTGTATGAAACCCACCCCCTTGCTGATGATTCTGAAGATAAGAAAATAAACAGAGCTGAGGCATCAGCGTTGAGAAAAAAGAAGGAGAGGGTAACAAAATTGAAGTCTAAACGTAAATGACCACATTCTAATAATGTTTCTTTTGGAGTTTCTACAGCACAGACCAGGAATATGTATGCTAACCAGAATTATTCCTTTCGCCCCTTCCGAAGAAATCAGGGATCCTGTTATGCCTGTGGAGAATTCGGCCACTTCAGGAGAGATTGTCCAAATATTGGATCAGAAGCAGTATCAGCCATCAACCAGCAAAACTCATGAAGATAATGATTTTTTGAAAGATAAGTACTCAGATTTATTGCATTCCATTGGAGGGGGTTTAACTAATGATTATTATGAATATGAATCAGGATCTGCAGATATTATTGTTAAAGGTAGATTAAGAAGAAACATTTCTTTTTGGGAGAATATTGGTTCACCAGATTTTATTTTAGATACTATAAGAAATGGGTATAAAATTCCATTCTATTCACAGCCTGTCCCTGGTTCGATTTTTGAGAAAAATAACAGATCGGCATTAAAAAATCATGAATTTGTAGTACAGGCTATAATAGATTTAGAAAGTAGAATGTTAATTGAAAGGTGTACAGTTCCTCCTCTAGCAGTTAACCCTTTGTCAGTATCAGTACAGAGTAACGGTAAAAATAGATTAATTTTAGATTTAAGATTGGTTAATAAACATGTATGGAAGCAAAGTGTGAAATTCGAAGATTTAAGAACTGCGTTGATTTACATAAAAACTCATTCTTGGATGTTTAGTTTTGATGTTCATTCGGCTTACCATCATGTGGACATTTTCCCTGCTCATACAGGTTACTTGGGGTTTTCATGAGAATTTAATAACGATATAAGATTTTATAAATTTACAGTTCTACCATTTGGTTTGACTTCGGCTCCATTTATATTTACGAAAATAACAAGACCTTTGATATCTAAATGGAGGGGGGAGGGGAAGAGGATTTTAATGTATTTAGATGATGGATTGGGAACACATTCCTCGCGTAATAATTTAATTATTCAAGCGCAAGATGTTAAAAATGATATCATTTTATCCGGTTTTGTACCGAAATCCAGTAAATCTTGCTGGGATCCGGTCCAGAATTTAACATATTTGGGTGTTATTTTCGACACAGAAAATGGGATTATAAAAATACCAGATAGGCGAATTATTAAACTAAAGAAGTCCCTTACAAAAGCTATAGAATTTTCTTCTAGATCAAAATTGATACATGTTAAACATTTAGCAAGTATTGTTGGTCAGATTATTTCTATGTCCGTTGTTTTTGGCAATTGAACTCAAATTATGTCTCGATTTATGAGTCAGGTAATAGCATCGACATTATCGTGGAATGATAGAGTGGAGTTTAGTTCTGAAATAGTAAATGAAATTGTTTTTTGGAATGATAATTTATGCAAGACTTTCAGTAGAACACTTGAATATAAAACTGTTTGTGATAAAATTGTTTATAGTGATGCAAGTAATTCGGGATATGCTGGCTATTGTTTAGAATCTCCAGCAGGAATAGCGCATGGTATGTGGACTGTAGATGAAAGTGTTAAAAGTTCTACATGGCGGGAATTGACAGCAGTATTAAGAGTGTTAAAATCAATAATTCATATTATTAAAGGTTGTAGAATTAAGTGGTTTACTGATAATCAAAGTGTTGTTAAAATTGTTGAAAAGGGAAGCATGAAAGTGGAAGTACAAAACATTTCACTAGAAATTTTCAGATTTATGCTTGCTAATTCAGTCTCTCTAGAAATTGATTGGGTTCCAAGATTGGAAAATGAAAAGGCTGATTTTTATTCTCGGATAATTGATTATGACGATTGGGGGATTTCCCATTATGTTTTGGGGGAATTGGATATGCAATGGGGACCACATGAAGTGGATTGGTTCGCTTCTTCCCATAACAAAAAACTTCCTGTGTTTTATTCAAAATTTTGGAATCCGGGTGCCCATGGAATTGATGCATTCACCTTTAATTGGGCTGGTTCAAGGGGTTGGTTTGTACCTCCTATCTATTTGATAGAGCGTGTTCTTCTACATATGAAGATGTCCAAGGCGTATGGAACATTAATAGTACCATTTTGGTATTCTGGGAGATATTGGCCACTTTTGTGTCCTTCAGACAACATTTTTATTAATGCCGTAAAACGTTACGTGTTTCTGGGTCGTGATAAACACTATTTTACTATTTGTAAATCTGGAAAAGGATTGTTCGGCAACAAAGATTTGACTTTCGATATGATTGCATTAGACATTGACTTCAGAATTTGATTTTAAATATAAAAATTACTATATAAACCTATTGGTTTAAAAGATGGATCTATTTGATCTCATAAGTGCCTATTGGGTTTAAAAGATGGATCTATTTGATCTCATAAGTGCCTATTGGGTTTAAAAGATGGGTCTATTTGATCTCATAAGTGACTATTGGGTTTAAAAGATGGGTCTATTTGATCTCATAAGTGCCTGGGTTGCTGATAGCCGGGTTGGTTTAGAAGTTTTAAGTTATTGGTCTATTTAACCATGTGACCATGTTGATGGTGTTTTCAATGAAAGCGTGTATGTAATAATTAAGACACGTGTATTATATGAATTGTTTTCCTATATAAATCTATTTTTTCAGGCTTTTGGTAATAAGTGTAAAGATCTACCAGACAGTTTGAAAGATCATTTTGTAAAAATACCTAAATTGTTACAACGTTCAAGAACTGAAAGTACAAATAGAAAATATCAATATGGTTATATAAAATGGAAAACATGGGCTGAAGAAAATGATGTATCTGTGAGATTACCTGTAGATCCTCTTATGTTTTCATTGTATTTATCTTATATTATAAATAATAAGGGTTCTGTTAGTAGGTTAAATGATGCCTTTTTCAGTATTCGGTGGATACACAATTTAGTGGGTTACAAATCCCCAACTGAACATTTGATGGTTAAACATGTATACAAGGGTGGGAAAAGAATACTTTGTAAACCAATTAAGAAGAAAGAGATTATTACTGTTGATCATTTATCTCAATTATGACTAATATGTTGATAAGAATAATTTGTACTATTTAAGAATTATAACTATATGTTTATTGTGTTTTGGGGGATTTTTCAGAATATCGGAAGTTTTGAATTTATGTCGTTCAGATATAATATTTTATCCTACATACATGTCTATATTTGTAGAAAAGTCTAAGACTGACATTTATAGGGACGGTTCATGGGTGGTTATTTCGAAAGGGAATTCTAAACTATGTCCTGTTATTAATCTTCTTTTGTATCTTAAAGTTGCTAATATTTCTGATGGCAGTTCCGAGTATATATTTAGAGCATTAACTAAATGTAAATCTGGTTACGTTTTAAGAAAAACCAATAAATCTGTTTCATATACTCGAGTACGTGAACAATTCATAGAGGTATTTAAACCTATTGTAAATAATATTGGAGATTTTGGTTTACATGGATTACGTGCAGGTGGTGCCACTGCGGCGGCTAATTTTGGAATCCCTGATCGGTTATTTAAACGTCATGGTCGTTGGAAATCAGAAAGTGCCAAAGATGGTTATATTAAAGATAATGTACATAAACGTTTAAATGTTTCTATGAATTTGGGTCTATAATTTTGATTTGTTCATTTCGTCCCGTTCTTTAGTTTTCATCTGTTCGGTAGTGTCGCCGATATCTCACAATTATGTGTTTGGTTATCTGTGGTGACTGAAATGGGTGTAATTTGAAAGAAGGAAGCGGGGTTAGAATGAGAATTATTGTACTTTCTTCCCGTCTAACCTTTATGATGCAGAAAAAGTAAAAATAATACATTTAAATATTTTCCACTAATTTTGAAAAGTAAATAAACACTGAAAATCACAAAATTTGGACTAAAATCAAAAATTCTCCTCACAAATTTGTCAAATATTTTTGAAATTTTACCATTTCACTTTTTTTATTATCAAAATGTCATATATCACATTTTCTTGCAATTTGGAGATCATATCATCAAATTTAGGCCTCTCATTCATTGTCCGGTTGTTTTCATACAGGAGGCAGACCACCATTAATTTCCCCATTGACTTCAATGTTAATTCTGGCCTATTTGCCCACCTCCAACTTTTCCCCAAATTTTCGTTGGGCTGAATTCTTTTCACTATAGACAGAGGAACGAATGACCATGTCTTTGCACTAAAATTTGTATGAGGTTGACCACCAAAATTTTGAGATACACAAACTTGAAGAAGCATACCCAAAACATGTAACTAGTTGCCGTACATATCACTGTAGCCAACCTGATAACTCAGTTATCCTTCCGCCTCAAAATCATGAATATTTACCAAAACTTGGCAGAAAATATTAATTCAAACCCTCTTCGTCCATTCTAGACCAAAAAAGCAACAACAATGGGCATGCAAAAGGGGAGAAAAAAGTCAGAGAGAATTGCTATAAATAGACGAACTACAATTTGTGGGTACCTAGATGGTGAAATTCAATGGTGGTCTGCCTCCTAATGGCATCCTTCAAGTCACATCGGTACGATCTTCTTACATTAAAAATTTCATGACAATCGTGCAAATATTAAAGAAGTTGTCAAGTTTGTCTCAACTTCCGACACGAAATTACAGCGACGAATTTTCGAAATTCGAAAATCGGAAATTGCAGGTGAAAATGATTTTTTTCAAGGTACTCAAAGAAAAAAGAATTATTAAAATAGCTCAAAAAACACAAAGTTATGACCATGCATTTTAAAGCGACATCTTTGTACAGTTTCGGAGCCAATGTAGGTCTCGAAAAACGGGGGTGATATGTTTACGGAGACGTGTCGGAAACACGAGCCGCGCTGCAGAATTTTGAATTCTTTGTAGTTTCCTCAGTGCGGTGCGAAGGAGTCCATGTAATAGACCAATACAGAAATCTAATCTAGAGGTGACGAAAGCATGAACCAATTTCAGACAAGATATTCCTCAATCACAATCACCGATTTTATACCATTCCGTAAATCAAAATCTCATTTTTAATTAATCTCGGGTTAGTAAAATATATATGTAAATATTATAGTTGAATTCATTTATTAGGACAGAAAATATATTTTAAATTTATTTCGTGATCGGATTCAGATACTTGAATTCAAAAAAAAAATCCAGAAAGTCGAAATAAATTTTAATCAGATACTTGAATTCAAAAAAAAAATCCAGAAAGTCGAAATAAATTTTATCCTTAAAGAAAGTCATAAACATGTTATTTAGAAAAGAATTGGGGTATCAAATGTAAATTGCATGTTAAATCCCCCCCCCCCACCAAAAACAAAAAAATAAAAAATAAAATAAAAAACACACATTAATATTAAAATCTATTTTAA